TCAATAAGGTCCACCACACCTTCCTCTTCGGGATCAAGCTTTTCCGGCTCCTCTTCATCGGGAACTCCACACTCACAAGAGACATCGACATGAAAAAGATTGTGGACCTCCGCCTCGATAACATCAACATATGAGCAACTCTCGGTGAACGACGGTGTTGTCTTTGCCTCGCTCATTGTAAAAGTGACCGTCTCACCGAGAGCCGATAAGGTGACTCGCCCGTCTTTGACATTGATGAGAGTGTTGGTGGTGGCCATAAACGGGCGGCCAAGCAAGATGGTGTGCTCATTACCGGTATTTGGGACCTCTCCCATGTAAAGCACAACAAAATCCGCCGGGACAATCAAGTTACCTACCCGAATCAAAATATCCTCAATAACTCCCTTCGGGTAGCGTAGTGTACGATCCGCCAATTGCAAACACATTCTCGTGGGCTTGAGGTCTCCCAATTCCAATTGCTTGAAAATCGAGTATGGCATAAGGTTGATCCCGGCTCCCAAATCAAGCATTCCATTAGTCTCTTTACCGTTTTCGAGGGTTATCTTGATCACAAAACCCCCGGGGTCACATTCTTTTCTCGGAATCGTGGTGGAAGCAACTTCGGAGATCATCACCTTTTCATTATCCTCAAACTTCCTCTTCTTCGAGGCCAAGTCTTTAAAGAATTGAACATAAGCCGGAACATTCTTTATCACATCAAGTAGAGGAAGGTTCACATTTACCTTAGAAAGCATGTCGAATAGATCCTTGAATTGACGATTCCTCTTTGTGTCTTGAAGTCTACTCGGGTAAGGTACCGGTGGGCGGTATGGTGTAGCCGACTTATGCAAAGTATCAAGGCTATCGGGTTTGGTTTTCTCCTTTGGTTCCTCCTCGATCATCACTTTCTTGTTCTTCCCGGAATCCTCCATAGCATTCAACTCCTTCTCATCATCTTTTTCATCAACATCCTCAATCAACACATCACTAGGCATCTCAACTCGATTATCCACCACTTTACCACTTCGTAAGACCGTCACGGCTTGAGCTTGCTCGGGTTGGCTCGGGAGTCGGTCCTTCTTGTTGTTTCTTTGCATTTCACCAATGGACGTCCCAAGTTGCCCCATTTGTGTCTCAAGGCATTTGAGAGAAGCTTGGGTTGAAGGTACGCCCTTGACCGTTTCATGGAGGGTGGACACGGTTGAAGCGAGGCTTTGAAGATACTTCTCCATGTTGTCAATTTGAGGGTCCGAGATAGGT